GTACTCTGAATAAAGAAGCAGACAGCCTATTTATGTAATCGGGATCATTTTCAGAGGTCGGGTGGCTTCATCACGAAGCGAGTATGTCATCCGAGACGGCTACAAGACTCTCAAGCCTTTCTCCAGCATTAATCGTCGGGATATACCCATCTTGGCTGGTCTTTTATTCTCCTATTTTGGGATGAAGCCCCTGGATAGATCAGGTACGGTATGAAAGGGTGCGATATGTATTACTTGTAGTCCGATACAGCTGGATTGCGTGAAATGTCGAGACCACAGAGTAACAAGGTTCTAACTCGACAATTTTTGTGTTTGAGGTAAGAGTGTCTGGGGGCCTCTATCCCCCACTACCCCAATACAATGTAGAATAGTCAGAACTTCTTTACCTTTAGTTATTAGATAAAATCATATTCTTAATTTTCTTTTCTTTTTTTTCAATGAAAGGAAAAATCATTAGTGTAGCATCTGAACTTCTGAATATATCGCAAACGTAAGGGTAACTGAGTTAAGGCATTTTCTTTTTGGGTCGTGATATGTTAACCTTCTTGACGATAATGAAATTATCCTTTTCTGTGAGAAGAATAAATGAATAAGCTTAATCAACGTTTATTCAGGTTGGCGAACTGCGTGATTATCTTTTTCATTTGGTCAAAGTGAGTTTAATACAGGGTATCTAGAAAAAGAGAGAACCAATTTAAAAGGCCCATTATAATAACAACAAAAGGACTCGGCTATGTTTGCACCAATTTCGATAAAACTGTAAAAACTAAAATTCAACCAAAGTGTGTCAAAATGTCAATGTGAAAAAAAAATCGACGAACGTGTTCGAGAAATTTCAAGTTTTTACAATTTTAAACGAAACTGAGTTGAGTGCAAAGGTTTGCTGCATAATCTACAATGTGTATTTGTGCCTTAAAGAACATATTATTATTTTTTTTATTTGAAAGTAACATTGCCATACAAAATCAGGGAAGGAGGTGGTTACATTCCATGCTCTAGGTGTTGACCATTTCTCTCTAGAAAGGCTTGAAGACGCATCTATACTATAAGTTTTGAACAAATTATTTTGGCACCTTTCTGATTTGATCCTTTGGACCCCTTTGGACAACAAGTGTCAATTATTCGATTGTTTGTGGACTGTTCCTATAGACTCTGTCATCTTTCAACCCCTTATTTTTCATGAGGGGCTTCAAAAAACATATTGTGTAGAGTGTTTTGTCTAGGCAGTGAAAATGTTTTTTTCCACAAAAGGTTAATTTGAAGTCTTATTCGCAAGAGATTTCATTTTCCGTTAAAGCATTTCTTTTGTGAGTGTGAGTTTGGGTGTATGTTAGTATGTTAGTGTGTATTAGTGCGCCCGCATGTGTGTGTGTGTGTGAGTGTGTGTGTG